AAACTTAAACCTAACTGATGTGGGCACCACTACCGGGTTGAACTGTGTCTCAAAGCACCGAGTGGACCTACCAGCAAGGCCTGTAGTCTCTTCAGCTGGAGTTCTTTGATCTTTGGGGCTGTTTCCCTGGAAAGTATTTGGAGACACTTTTCCTTCTGTTTCTGTTGGAATTTCTGTAACCCTAGAAATTCTTAAGGGTTGAAGCTTTTGTACAGGGGAAGCTTTACACACGTCCTGTACATTGGCTAACCTTGCTGAGACTAACTAAAAAATGGCTCCCTTCCCTTCCCAATTGCCCTGAGCAAGGGGCGGGACCAAAACTTAATGATGGACAGGTGGCTTGCCCTATAACTGCAACCAAATGAGCCCCCTATCTGCAGGGTCCCTGAAACCTAGGACTGCAAACAAACATTTAATGTAAAGCAAACAAAATTGGAGCGCCTGGTACAGCTGTACCAGAACAGTATGAGTTTTTAGAATACAGTTCTGGAGAGCTTTTTCTCTGAGGAGATCCATGCTCAAAGGCTCTGCTCTGAGGAGCAGGTTGGAGAGAAGCCATGATGCTGCTCTAAAGGAGGCTATGGTGGAATAGCTGTTTGCTCAAGGTTTTATGTTATACTTTCTCATTTGAGAAAGCTTCCTTATATTGTGTTACTTACAAAGACTATGTAAGTTTCTTGCACTGTTTGTTTTTTGTATGCAACATTGCAAGTTTGTATTTCATCTCTGCTATTAAGAGTAAACATTTTTCTGTTCATTCCTATTTGTGTCTGTGAGTCTTGTGCATGGGATGTGGCTAGGATCCGCTTGCTGCGCAACATAATCCAGAGCAATGCAATTAATCTGCATTCTGAAACAGCATTATATGCCAGTGTACATCCAGAGACATAGTCCCACACTCAAGCCACTGTACCATACTATCTCCCTTTTCATAGAATCATAGAATCAAAGAGTTGGAAGAGACCTCATGGGCCATCCAGTCCAACCCCATTCTGCCAAGAAGCAGGAATGTTGCATTCAAATCACCCCTGACAGATGGTCATCCAGCCTCTGTTTAAAAACTTCCAAAGAAGGAGCCTCCACCACACTCCGGGGCAGAGAGTTCCACTGCTGAACGGCTCTCACAGTCAGGAAGTTCTTCCTCGTGTTCAGATGGAATCTCCTCTCTTGTAGTTTGAAGCCATTGTTCCGCGTCCTAGTCTCCAAGGAAGCAGAAAACAAGCTTGCTCCCTCCTCCCTGTGGCTTCTTCTCACATATTTATACATGGCTATCTCCTTTCAGCCTTCTCTTCTTCAGGCTAAACATGCCCAGCTTCTTAAGCCGCTCCTCATAGGGCTTGTTCTCCAGACCCTTGATCATTTTAGTCGCCCTCCTCTGGACACATTCCAGCTTGTCAATATACCTCTCTTGAATTGTGGTGCCCAGAATTGGACACAATACAATCCTTTTTTTGCTTGCTTTCCCCTTCTTTGTGTGTTATAATTTCCTCTCCATAATTTCTCCCTTTCTATGTCTTAATGATCCCCAATTAGATGCCAAGGTTAAGAGCTTCAAAGTTTAGTTTCCTGTGACAGATGAGGTGCCTCTATGGAGTGTCCAGTGTAGAAAACATCTGGATACAAGTAACCCAACCTCTGACAAGCTGTTCCAACCACGTTGGTTTAAACTTGTTCCACTTTGGAATTAAATATCATATTATAATACACAAAAATATTTGCATTTAATAAAGAAATAGGTAGGGGGAAATGTTGACTATTAGTGCAATCTCTCATTGCATTAATTAATAATTTCATTCCGAAGTTCCAGCTGCAGCCAATTAAATTAAATTGTCTCCTTACGTTAGAAACTTAACCGATAGCTTCTCTGACTTTAATTAGTTCCTATCACTGGCAGTGTCTGCGCATCCACGATGGCAGGAGGAGGCTGGCTTGGTTATCATTAAAAGTCTCGACTTGAGATGTTTTGTTCCTAGCTCTCTGCAGGCTTCGAAACTCTGCATTTGAGATACAGTGACTATGAAGAAGAAACCCACATTACAGCCAGAAGTTTAAAACACAACATGTACAAAATGCCACTGTGAATAAATGGTTCGTGCAGTTGCTCTACAAGAGAGACCGTGGAGGTGAACTGTCAAGGCGCAAGACAATGGAGCTCATCTCCTTTCAGCTCTGACTCACAATGGCTTCATTGTGGGGCTCCTTGTAGGACACACACACAGAAACAAAAGATACTCCATCCAACTTCTATCTAGCAGCTTGACAAACTTACAGCACTAATTAGAAGGAGGAGAAAGGGAGAGAGGCAAAACAGCAAATCTTTGACTACCAACACATCCAGCTGATCAACACCAACTATTTTCCGAATGTTAATTAAAATGATTGCCACCTTCCTTCCCCAACATTTCACAAAATAAAAATTGGGGAAATGTATATGAGCAACATGAGGGTGTTGCAGCAATTGCAGTAAATAGATGAATGGTAGGGGAGAGGGGGAGGGAGGAGGGGAGAGAAACTGGGACACTTTAAAAGCAGCTGAACAAGTGGGACAGAAGAGAATTAATCAGGGCTGTGTCTGTCAAACCAGGACAGCTGTACCAGGATTGTGGCGCAGCTGGCTGAGTGTCAGCTGCATTAAGATCACTCTGACCAAAAGGTCATGAGTTCGAAGCCAGCCCGGGTTGGAGTGGGTTTCCAACCAATTGTGTAGCCTGTTGTCGACCTTTGCAACCCGAAAGACAGCTGCATCTGTCAAGTAGGAAAATTAGGTACCACCTTAAAGTGTGGGGAGGCTAAATTAACCGATTTATGAGGCCATAAAGAAGACTCCAGCAAAGCATTCCAGCGGGGAAGCATGCAGGGAATGCGGAAGTGCTTCATCAGTGTCTCAGATGGATGATGAAAGCGACAGCTCCCCTGGTGGCCAGAAAAAGTTAAATAGCCTCTGTGTATGTCTGTATATGTTGGTCAAAAATTGGCATTGAATGTTTGCCATATATGTGTACACTGTAATCCGCCCAGAGTTCCCTGCGGCGTGAGAAGGGCGGAATATAAAAAAAACTTGTAAATAAATATTTATTTATTTACAGTATTTATTTATTTATTTACAGTATTTATTTATTTACAGTATTTTATCTATCTATCACTGTCTATAGTAAAAATAAAGGTTTTCCCTTGACATTAAGTCTAGTCAAGTCCGACTCTGGGGGGGTGGTGCTTATCTCCATTTCTAAGCAGAAGAGCCGGTGCTGTCCATAGACATGTCAAAGGTCATGTGGCCAGCATGACTGCATGGAGCACCGTTACCTTCCCATTGGAGTGGAACCTATTGATGTACTCACATTTTCATGTTTTTGAACTGCTAGGTTGGCAGAATAGGAGTCCCCGGTGGTGAAGTGGGTTAAACTGCTGAGCTGATAAATTTGCTGACTGAAAGGTCAGAATCCAGGGAGTTGGGTGAACTCCCAATGTTAACCCCAGATTCTGCCAACCTAGCCGTTCAAAAACATGCAAATATGAGTAGATCAATAGGTACCACTTCGGAGGGAAGGTAATGGCACTCCATGCAGTTATACTGGCCATATGACCTTGGAGGTGTCTGAGAACAATATTGGCCCTTCGGCTTAGCAATGAAGATGAGTACCATCTCCCAGAGTCGGACATGACTAGACTTAATGTCAAGGGGAAATCTTAGAATCATAGAATCAAAGAGTTGGAAGAGACCTCATGGGCCATCCAGTCCAACCCCATTCTGCCAAGAAGAAGGAATATTGCATTCAAATCACCCCTGACAGATGGCCACCCAGCCTCTGTTTAAAAGCTTCCAAAGAAGGAGCCTCCACCACACTCCGGGGCAGAGAGTTCCACTGCTGAACGGCTCTCACAGTCAGGAAGTTCTTCCTCATGTTCAGATGGAATCTCCTCTCTTGTAGTTTGAAGCCACTGTTTCGCGTCCTAGTCTCCAGGGAAGCAGAAAACAAGCTTGCTCCCTCCTCCCTGTGACTTCCTCTCACATATGTATATATGGCTATCATATCTCCTCAGTCTTCTCTTCTTTACCTTAAGTTGGCAGAAGCTGGGGCTAACAGCAGGAGCTCACCCTGTCCACAGATTTGAACCACCGACCTTCCGGAAATTCTACAGCGGTTTAACTCACTGAGCCAGTTCCTACATAAAACTATAAGCACGGAGAATCAAAAGTTATCTGTAAGATCATTCTTTTATTTTAGACTGACCTTCCATGATTTTCAATGAACTGTTAATTTCTTTCTGCCCTTACTGTTTACAATCTCCAGCTGCATTATGCATGCATATATATGATCATGCTTTGAGAATAAAAGGCACCACTCTTTAAAATAGGATAAAATGCAAGTAACCACACATTTTGTGGCTTTGACTTTTGCAGCTTTCACTGATTTTATTACTATTTTCTCTGCAGAAATCTCTAGATACTCCAGCATGATTCTTTGGTCCAATTCTGGTTGAAGCTGATCCGGATCATGCTAGAGGACCTAGCAATTACTAGAGGGATGTTCCCACAGATTTTTAAAAATGCTTATTTGTGGTTTTTCACTTTTCAAGGGTTCATGCGCTCTAACCCCAGTGAATATGGAGGGCCCACTGTATACGCACAAAGACATTTCCAAAATCTTCCCCATGAATGTGATAACAATGAGTATTGGATTGATACAGCTTGAAAGTATGACATATGAGCTGACTGATTAATATTTTACCAAGTACGTTTCTTCCAGTTTCATGATCACAGTTTCAGATTCACAAAGTATTCTGCATAACACCAACGTCAGGAAAAATAATACACTTGATGGATTGGTATTCATAAAGAGAAACAGCTGAATTAATTTTGAAGATAGTCCTACTTCACCCACTTTGTTCTATTTGCAGCAGAGAAGTTCAACTCGGAGGTCAGGGGAATATTAAAACAACCACTTCTATTTCCTATTGTACTTTGGTTCAAGGCTCGCGTTATGAGAAAGCCGCCTTACCCAGGATAGACAGGAAAGCCTTTGCTCTCTCTGGCGCAACAGGGCTGTCTCTCAACTGCGCCTCGCAGACGTACATCCCAATGTCAGCAGAGGTTGGGTTGGCAATAGAAAGACGTCTCCCAAAAGTGCTAACTCCACTGGTTATTTTGATTCCATTCCTCTTCCAGGCGATGCTTAATTTCTCAGCGGGCCTGCGAGGGTAAAAGTCATGCCAATTATTACTATGAATTATGTTATCTGCAGTAATAATACAGGCTGAACATATGACTCACCTAACTCTTCCAGGACTGCGGGCACATCGAGCAGTGGACACTGAGAAATAAATCCCGCCACAACTCCCAGGACTTAAGCACAAGGATGCACCGGAGGAGCAAAAATAGAACGACTCCGGCGCCGTTCAAAAAGCATAGCTAATTGTAATAGCGATTGAACTTTTAAAGGGTAATTATCTGCTTTGCCTGAGCAAAGAATACTAAAAATAAACACAACTTGGGGAGAAGCTGTATGGGAGGAATTTTCATTCTAACTCGGTTTGAGAGCCTGCACTAACTATGATTAAGAATGCCTCTGCTTTCACAGGGTAGAAGCTATCAATCGGCTTCAGGAAGATGTCAGCCCATTCTCTTTCTCCCACAATGTTCCCACCACTGGGAATGAGTAATAAGGAAAACATCTAGGTCTCCAGTCTTTGTTTAACAGTATTGCGTTATCCAAAGAGCTTCCCCATATATTGTCGAAGGCTTTCATGGCCGGAATCACTGGGTTGTTGTAGGTTTTTTTGGGCTATATGGCTATGGTCTAGAGGCATTCTCTCCTGACGTTTCGCCTGCATCTATGGCAAGCATCCTCAGAGGTAGTGAGGTCTGTTGGAACAAGGAAAAAGGGTTTTTATATCTGTGGAATGACCAGGGTGAGAAAAAGGACTCTTGTCTGCTGGAGCTAGGTGTGAATGTTTCAACTGACCACCTTGATTAGCATGCAATGGCCTGAGTAACTGGAGCAAAATTTTGTTGAGAGGTGATTAGATGTAGTGCTTGTTTCCTCTCTGTTGTTGTGCTGTTGCAATTTTAGAGATTTTTAATACTGGTAGCCAGATTTTGTTCCTTTCTGTTGAAATTGTCCACATGCTTGTGTATTTCAATGGCTTCTCTGTGTAGTCTGACATGGTGGTTGTAAGAGTGGTCCAGCATTTCTGTGTTCTCAAATAATATGCTGTGTCCAGGTTGGTTCATCAGGTGCTCTGCTATGGCTGACTTCTCTGGTTGAAGTAGTCTGCAGTGCCTTTCATGTTCCTGGATTCGTGTTTGGGCCATGCTGCTGCGTTTGGTGGTCCCTCTGGAGACTTGTCCACAGCTGCATGGTACATGGCAGACTCCCACAGAAATGAGAGGATCCCTCTTGTCCTTTGCTGAATGTAGCATTTGTTGGATTTTCTTGGTGGGTCTGTAGATAGTTTGTATGTTGTGTTTCCTCATCAGCTTCCCTATGCGGTCAGTGGTTCCCTTGATGTATGGCAGGAACACTTTTCCTCTGGGTGGATCTTCATCTTGACTCTCATGGCTTGTTCTTGGTCTTGCAGCTCTTCTGATGTCTGAGGTGGAGTATCCATTGGCCTGGAGTGCCCAGTTGAGGTGGTTCAGTTCATCTTGGAGGAGGTGGGGTTCGCAGATTCTTTTTGCACGGTCTGCCAAGGCTTTAATGGTGCTTCTTTTTTGACTTGGGTGATGGTTGGAGTTTTTATGTAGATATCTATCTGTGTGTGTGGGTTTTCTGTAAACGGTGTGACCCAATTGTTGATCTGGTTTGCGGATGACTAGGACATCTAGAAAAGGCAGTCTTCCTTCCTTTTCTTTTTCCATAGTGAACTGGATGTTTGGGTGGATGCTGTTGAAACATTCACACCTAGCTCCAGCAGACAAGAGTCCTTTGTCTCACCCTGGTCATTCCACAGATATATAAACCCTTTTTCCTAGTTCCAACAGACCTCACTACCTCTGAGGATGCTTGCCATAGATGCAGGTGAAACGTCAGGAGAGAATGCCTCTAGACCATGGCCATATAGCCCGAAAAAACCTACAACAACCCAGTGATTCCGGCCATGAAAGCCTTCAACAATACATTCTCTTTCTCCCACAATGTTCCCACCACTGGGCTGACAGGCAAAATTTCAAATGAGTAATAAGGAAAAGATCTAGGTCTCCAGGCTTTGTTTAACAGTATTGCATTACCCAAAGAGCTTCCCCATGCTTACATATGGGTCAAGGACCTATAAATGTAAGCAGAAGTCACACAATGACAAATGCTAGCATTGTAGAGCTGTCACGTACAGTGTTCGAGATGACTTTGGGTTTTTGATTTTTCTGTAGTTCTGTGTAAATAATACAATTATTTTTTCCAAACCACTCTCCCAAGCCATGAAGGAACCTGTATCGCAGTAACATTAAAGGAAAACTCAAACAAGCAAACAAAGAAACCAACAAAAATACCACTGCATGGCACACCCTATTTTTATTACAACCCAGTTTGGTAATTATTAAGAGTAATCTTACTCTTCTCTCAGGGAACGGCGACAGTAGCCGTAAGGCTGATAAATGCGGTATACAAAAGGAGTAAATAAATAAATAAATAATAGCAAAATTCCCCTAACTAGATCCATATTCCCCATGTCCCGATAAAGAGCGACCCGGGCATTCTCTTCAGTATATTAGTGCTTTTAATTGAACAGAACCCCTGTGTTTTTCCATTACCTGCCATTGCCCACACATTCCAGGACGGCTTCATTACTCCCAGCTGCCACACTTGTATTACGAGGAGGAATTACAATGACTGGAGCCTCGGTGGTGGATGCGGTGTCAGCACCTGCAAACAAGAAAGTAAGCCCATCATAAATATTGTCCAGGCCTAGCTTTGTGCTTACATATACAGCAACAGTCACTTTCTAAGCCAGCAGCACAGAGGAAGAAATCACAATACTATGAGAAGACATGGGTTGAAGTAAACACAGCACTGATTGACTTGAGGTAAGAATTTGGTAGGGTACAAATCCATCACCAAGTAGTACAAACACTACCTATCTGCTATAGCTCTTGGGATCCCAACAGGAGTCCAATCACTACGACTAATGATCCTACCACTGAAAAGTATAATAGACAGTGCATACCCAACTCGGGTAGACCATACTAGCATATTTGCTCCAACCACTGATCCAAAATAGGAAAGCACAAGTACAGCAGAGTCTCATTTATCCAACCTTTGCTCATCCAGCCTTCTGTATTATCCAACGTAGTCTGCCTCTCATTCGGATCCACAGTTGTTTCAATTCATTGCAATGTTTTGGTGCTAAGTTAGAAAATACAGTTATTACTACATAATGTTACTGTGTATTGAACTGCTTTTTCTGTCAATTTGTTGCAAAACATTATGTTTTGGTGCTTAATTTGTAAAATCATAAGCAATTTGATGTTTAATAGGCTTTTCCTTAATGCTTCCTGATTATCCAACATTTTCGCTTATCCAATGTTCTGATGGCCTGTTTATGTTGGATATGCGAGACTCTACTGTATTGTTGTCTTTTGTTGTGGACCTTCAAGTAGTTTCCAACCTATCATGGTGTTTTCTTGGTAGAATTTCTTAAGAAAAGGTTTGCCTTTGCCTTCCACTGAGGCTGAAAGAGTGTGACTTGGCCAAGATCTGTCAGAATATTGAAACTTTGCCAGAGGAGGGATTGTTAGATCAACAGACACTGCATTCAGAAATCAGGACTCTGCAAGCTTTTAGTTACAACAGAAAACTTCTGGCTGAGACCAGATCCTCCCTTTTCTTCCCAGCCACATTATCTCATTTCTGTCAAGGTTACGTTTTCTCTGCCTCAGCACTATGTTCTCTTAATACACAAAAGAACAGAATAGAATCCATTTTGAAATACATCTTAATCTATCTTGAATTACATAGAAACACGTTGAAAAACACACATGCATAACTAAATAATCCTGACAAGATCATCTAGTGGGTTTCCATCATTGAGCAGGAATTCAAGGCTGTTTCCAGAGTAATAGCATGTATGGCAGCCATCAGTCTATCTGGGAAGTCTTCAGTCTTAGAATAGAGACTTAATTGAGTTTAGCACCACATTAACTGCCACGGCTCAATGTTTCTGAATTGTGGTGTTTGTGGTTTGGTGAGGCACCAGCACTCTTTGACAGAGAAGGCCTTTTAAAACCATCTCCCATGGTTCTACACCAGTGATTCCCAACCTTTTTTTTACCAGGGACCACTTTGACCAGGGACCACTCTCCAACATTAGTACCAAAAAGGGTTACGAATCTGATTTTGGTCAACTTTAGTTTTGCTTTGGTTATTTGGGATAGAGCACATCAGCTCTAATTTCTGTTACAGAACATTTGCTATCCAGTAGTTGCCATCTGCTTACCCACAAAAAACCCACATTAAATAATCTAGAACCATGGACCTTATTTTAGGACCTTAGTACTATACTAACTGTCATGGCTCAATATTACTGAATCGTGGTGTTTGTGGTTAGGTGAGGCACTAGCACTCTTTGGCAGAGAAGGCTAAGGACTTTTTAAACCATCTCCTATGGTTCTACACCAGTGGCTCCCAATCTGTTTTTGACCAGGGACCACTTTCCAACATTAGTACCAAAAGGGTTACGAATTGGTTTTTGGTCAACTTTAGATTTGGTTTGATTATTTGGGGTGCTGCTTCAGGAAATTGCATTGGATAGATCACATCAGCTCTAGTTTCTGTTACAGAACATTTGCTACGTGGGGCTGCCCTTGAAGACGGCCCGGAAGCTTCAGCTAGTCCAGCGCGCGGCAGCCATGTTACTAACAGGAGCGGGATGCAGGGAGCACACAACGCCCTTGTTGTTCCAGCTCCACTGGCTGCCGATCTGCTACCGGGCCCAATTCAAGGTGCTGGTGTTGGCCTACAAAGCCCTAAACGGTTCCGGCCCAAAATACCTGTCTGACCGCATCTCGGCCTATGAGCCCACGAGGACTTGAGATCATCTGGGGAGGCCCTTCTCTCGATCCCGCCTGCCTCACAGGCACGTTTGGCGGGGACGAGAGATAGGGCCTTCTCGGTGGTGGCGCCCCGGCTATGGAGCACCCTCCCTGTGGACATCAGACAGGCGCCCTCCCTTATGTCATTCCGCAAGAGCTTAAAGACATGGCTATTCGAGCAGGCGTTCAATTAAGTATTACAACAATTGACAATGACGACTGGAACGGAATATGGAATACGAGATTGGTTTATGATTCTACGCTGAGACGACGCGGATGATTTAGAGTAATTATTGTTGTATTATTGATGTTACGTGTATATTGTGTTGTATGAGGGTTATATTGTAAACTGTTTTTATATGTTGTACACCGCCGTGAGTCGCCCGAAAGGGCTGAGAACGGCGGTCAACAAATGCAATAAATAAATAAATAAATAAATAGTTGCCATCTGCTTACCCCCAAAATACCACATTTAATAATCTAGAGCCATGGACCTTATTCTAGGTCTCACAACCCACCAGTGGGCCACAGCCCACAGCTTGGGAACCCCTGTTCTACACGTTGCTCCATGTCAGTGAAAGTGGTGCCAACCTGCATTCATTCTCCAGTGGAGTTGAATTTAGTCAAACTTCAACTTTTCCCTTCTGACTTTACAGCAGATCATCCTCTCATTAGGGAACCGCTCTCAAGTCCAGTCATTTTCTGTTGCTTTCATGATACTATGCAAAAGCCTTTTATTTCCCTACTTGAAGCTCCAAATCATTCGAAGCAACGAGATCATAAGGTTTGCTCCCCAGGAAAATGCAGGAAGGCCCATTCCCAGAGAACAAATAAACGGAGCTCAAAGAGGTTTTTTCCCCCTCGCGACGAAGCACTTTTATTTTTATCAAACATTTGCTGACTTATATTTTTAAGATCTTTTCATGTTTTTGTTTAATCTTACGACTTCCATGCAGTTTCAAAAGAGCCTGCCAGTGCTTGAGTGAGTTCTTTAAAAAGATTTTTATACTCCAGGGAACAAATACGAAATTAACAAAGCAGCATATCACAGCAACTTCAATCCTCTTTCCTTATCAGTAAAGTAAATAACCCAAATCTGCTTCTCTTTTGTGAGTCTACAAACTGTAAATAATTTAGCTTATGCAACTCTGGATACACAGCAGGGAAAAAAATGTGGCAAGGAAGAAATGCTGCCATTTCGGGCCTCTATGTGTGCCAGCATGTGCATATGCATTATATCTCAATGCATGTATTTAATAAGTGAATTAAACTACCAATATGTTATTGCTTTGCTTCAAGCTATTCATTTGGGGAGAGAAAACAAAGCATTGTTTTCCCGACATGAGAAAGAACATAATAAAAGGCTGCTAAAAATAAGGATGGCAATAAATGAGTTACAGGAGGAAAAAGAATTAAAATCCCACGTCTCAACCAATGAAAATCCAAACTGGCTCATCGAACACTGTACATTAAGGCATCTTAGCATTATAAAATCTGCCATTATGAGTCAATGCAATTTACAGCTGGCAACTGGAAGACTCCAAAGCCTTCAGTCCTTAGCACAAAAAAATCCATCACGAAATAGCAAAGAGTTGGAAAGAACAGTCATGGCATATTTAGTTCTGTTAGACATTTCTGCAAAAATGTTTTAAAGTGTGATATATGGGTGAGACAAACCGAAAATGAGCACAAACTATCATAAATAGCACAGAGCTGGCATTTTCCTGAAGTTTCACTTTTGAAGATGAAACACAGAGCACGGTATAAAGACCAGAACACTTACTGGAGTGCAACTGGTGAGATGCCTTTAAAGCTTTTCTTTTCTTTGAATTGCTGCAGACTACCCATCGACTAAACTGTATTGTCGAAGGCTTTCATGGCCGGAATCACTGGGTTTTTGTAAATTTTTGCGGGCTGTATGGCCATGGTCCAGAGGCTCTGGTCAGTACTTAGATTGGAGGTAATCCAATCCAATCCAATAAGCCTTTATTGGCATTTACATAGCAAATAGGTATAAAATACAGCAAAGAGGTATAAAATACATGGTCCAGAGGCATTATCTCCTGACGTTTCGCCTGCACCTATGGCAAGCATCCTCAGAGGTAGTGAGGATGAGGCCATAGATGCAGGCGAAACGTCAGGAGAGAATTCTCTCCTGACGTTTCGCCTGCATTTATACAAGCATCCTCAGAGGTAGTGAGGTCTGTTGGAACTAGGAAAAAGGGTTTATATATCTGTGGAATGACCAGGGTGAGACAAAGGACTCTTCTCTGCTGGAGCTAGGTGTGAATGTTTCAACTGACCACCTTGATTAGCATACAATGGGCTGACTGTGCCTGGAGCAAACTTTTGTTGAGAGGTAATTAGATGTCCCAGATTGTTTCCTCTCTGTTGTTGTGCTGTTGAAATTTTAGAGTTTTTTTTAATACTGGTAGCCAGATTTTGTTCATTGTACACAGAGAAGCCATTGAAATACACAAGCATGTGGACAATTTCAACAGAAAGGAGGAAACCATGAAAATGAACAAAATCTGGCTACCAGTATTTAAAAAACTCTAAAATTACAACAGCAAAACAACAGAGAAACTAATCTAATCACCTCTCAACAAAAGATTGCTCCAGGCACTGCCAGGCCATCAAATGCTAATCAAGGTGGTCAGTTGAAACATTCACACCTAGCTCCAGCAGACAAGAGTCCTTTGTCTCACCCTGGTCATTCCACAGATATATAAACCCTTTTTCCTCGTTCCAACAGACCTCGCTACCTCTGAGGATGCTTGCCATAGATGCGGGAGAAACGTCAGGAGAGAATGCCTCTAGACCATGGCCAGACAG